TATTATATATATATATATATATATATATATATATATATATATATATATATATAAAATGAATTAAATATTTTTAGCATTGGCTGTGGAATATACTTTAAAGTCTTCAAATAAGAATGTAAATATTATCCTCCATTTTGCACAATACTTGTGCAATTTATTAAAAAAAGATTAATTTAATTCAGTAATACATACATATTTATGTAATAATTATTAAATTAAAATCATTTTTATTAATAAATTACATAATTAATAAATTAAATTGATTTGAAAAGTACATGTGTGAAAATGGCGGCAATGTTTCAACTTTTACTTGAATAATTCTATGTAATATCAGTTTCGTATTTAAACAAGAAAATCTGTAAAAATGATTACAAAAATATTGTTTATATAATTTTAAATAATTATATTTAATATTATAATATTTAGATAAAATTTTCTTACAATTTATCTTGCACTATTTGCAATATTTGATCCAATCAACAGTTGCTTCAATTTTCAATGTCCAAATTTTTGCAGAATTTTAAAGGTCTTCTTTTCGTCAAATATATATCTATTTTATTTCAAGTACAATAATTCAGGTACAAAAGACAAATCTTATAGAATAATAATGTAAAACTTGCAAGTGAAAGAAGAGTATATTCTGTCTCGCTTTTGCTCGTTATCTAACCTAACGTGGTAGGTTTGTCACGTTGCTTTTACTCTCTGGTCTCTAGTATATTCTGGTATATTCTTTGTATTCCTAAACGAAATAGATATGAGCGTTGAAGAAAGATCGAAAATACATACAGGAAGTGCGAGCGTGAACAAATCTAATATTTATATTGTTTGTATCATTGCAAATTGATATATTATGTCAGGGATCAAGTTTTTTTGTCGTTAAAAATTCATGTACATATATATATATTTAACACTGAATATATGAATTAAAAAAACTGAATACACCATAATAATGAGATGATGAGCGATTAATTATAATATATTCTATGTAAATGACTTCACAATAAAATATAATGTGGAATCTAATGCTGATGAGATTGTATAATACAACTATCAAAAGCAGAAAAGTACAGGTAAGATATTTTGCACAATAGTTTTTTTTTCTTCAGTTGTAAAAGTTAATAATTTATTCTAAACAATTACTTATATGAATTTCTTTCAAGAATTTTGCAATCTTTATGTTAAAAATGTAATATCTTGTTTTATTTTTTAACTTGTAGATTTGCAAGCATTGGACATCAAATGTAACTGTTATTAAAATGAATAGCATGTGCACTAACACCGATTCTTTTGATATAAATCTTTTTTCTCCAGTAGATAAGGAAAAAATACTTGAAGTAATAAACAATAGAAACACAAAAGATCTACTGCAGTGAGTTGATTAATTGTATAATAGTTAATAGTAGAGTTGATTAGAGTTGTATAAGAGAATTTCTTGAATCTTATATGTAACAACACGTTATAAATCTTTATATTAATGTAGAAATTATTTTTCCAAAGATATTCCATTTCTGAGAAACGTGCACAAAACTTAGAGTTGCATCGAGCAAATAATGGGCCGTTTACATCACTGGAAGATTTGTTACAAGTAAAGAATATGAATAAAAAATGTACATATAACTTTTATAAGTCAATTATATTGGGTAAGAAAAGGATAGGTCCTAAGAAGAGTATGTCAGGCTTAGTTATAACACCAAAAAATATCGTAAATGATCAAAAGGTATAAAAAATCAAGCTATTTTTAATTTTCTAATGAAAGAATCGATATGTATTAATAGGTTCCTTTCTTATCTCCATATATATTTTTTACTAATTCTATGTTTTATCTGTATGTTATAGGATGTCAACACAGCATTAGGCATATATGTAGGATATGACATGATAAGTTGGTCATTATTAAATCGTGATTGCCAAGTATTACAATGGAGCTTTAAATGCTTTCCACAAAAAGAATCAAAGGAAAACATTCATTCTATACTTCAAACAGTAAGTATTGACATATTAAAGAAATTGTTTTCTATCAGAAATTATTATTTTATCATACTTTACTATTACTATAAATTATTTTTTGTCATTATTTCTTTTTCAGACAATACCAATTGCTAGGAAATTACCGAAGGCTGATCGATACATAATGCAGGAGGCTAGTATAGGCCATATACAAAACCGCAAGTCTTATCAGCATTTTGCACAACAATCTTTAATGAGTGCTATCATTCTGTCATATCTGACAATGCAGGACAATCAATGTAATGGTACGAAAATTTATATATTTTAATATGAATATAAAGATTTCTAGATATATTTATGTGTTATATCATGTAAAGAAGTCAAATCTAATGTTAGAATTTTGTGTAATATCAAATTTTTCAGACATTGTAAAGTTTGTGGAAAATAATATCTTTATACTTCGACAATCCGTTTTACGTAAAGTTTATGGACTTACATTAGACAAGGAAACTATTTCTACACAATATATGTTACAAAAGCTGCTACAAGAAAGCGAATTAGTAAAAACGAACGAACCGAAAGTATTAATAGGAAGAGAATTAAAAGACATGTACAATGCGCAAAATTCTGTTTATCAAGAACAGATTGGTTGGTCATTATTAATATCATTAGTTTTTATAGAGTTGTTTGTACATAAACGATCTGATATGATTTTTCGCGAGTTTCCTCAGAGATCGTAATATAATATAATATTAGTTGTGCGAATAAAGAATCTTTTTTTATGATTGTCAACTTGTATATTTTAACTAAAATAAAAGTATTTTTTATGTAGAATAATTCATTTCCATAGTAGTAAGAATTAAAAGTTCATGAGTTCAATCCAATCCAAGTTATCCAATAACGATAATAATAAATAGTAATAAATATAGTAGACAGTACAGGTCCATTCATTTATTATATTCTCACTTTTTATTATGCTATCTATTTATAGTATACCAAGTGTATATTGTTGCTCGCTGTTCGGATACAAACTCGCATCCGATTATTTCACATAAGATTGTACAATGTGCCGGGACCATTTGCCAGAAAAATAGGATCACTCGGACGACGATTTTGCAGGATCACCGAATGAGTACACGAGAGCAAGAGACGTTAGCTGCCTCGCGAATGTGACACGAGAAGTTTCCTGATGGCGAACTGAACATACATCCTTCTATAGAATCCTTCGTGCCGAGACGAATATGAAATCACGACGACTGTGAGACACGGTGTTACACGGGGGATATATCAAATGCCGCTACTTAATCTCGGGCAGTGATGCTGTATGACAAGCGTGTACGAAATGTTAGCTGATCAAGCGTAAAGGGAGACACACCAAATATTTATTTTTCCACATTATGCATCTGAGACTTGACCTTGGTTTACAACCGCGCTTAGGCTCCATCGCGAAAGTACGCACGTGAACGTCCATTAAATTCAGCTTACGCGCGACGAGACGTGTGCGCGTTGGTTATCGCTGGAAGAATTTGGAAGCTGTTCGATGAAAATATCATAACGATAGAAGTTGAATTGTAACCGCAGAGAAGCGAAGATCGCGATATAATTCTACCCAGTTTGTACGAGTTGTTCCTCTCGTTCCAACCGCAACGACGATCTTTAAAACAGCGTCCAATTCTCCTACGATATTTTGTACGAAAAAATGAATATAATAATAATTACATTAGCTGTATGAACAAGATCATTCGGTTAATTTTCTTTTTCCAATACGGTTGCGTGTACCAATACTGGTGTGTTATCTATCGAAATGCCGCTAAGAATCTGTTTCTTATTTTTGTATCGTGCAAACATTTAGAAATTTTAATGTAAAATATTCAAGAAAAAAATTTAACATGATAATTAATAATCATTCAAATTAAGATCGTTTTTAATCTTTAAAAAGAAATTCGCATCTTTGGTTCTAACGAGTACGAGAATATCTCTGATACTGTTTCGTGATCGATTATACAATATAAATGAGATACAATTCATGAGAAATATGAAATCAGCTGCTAAGTGTCGCTGAGGTACAGGCATACAAAGGCGAGCTTCCTGATTTTCAATTGTCAATTATTATCTTGGCCCATATAATATAAGCATAATTATTACAAGCACTATAAGTCAAGTAAGCGCCTGCGGTGAGATTCGTTCTCTTTGTACGAACAAATTTTTTTGCATTATCGGAAAGAGTAAAAGAGACTGGACGACATGTAAATCGCGCATCTTACAAATTTATATTACAAAGCGTGCGCACAGAACTCATTCCATTTGCCTTCGTCCTTCGATTATCGATATTATTTCGGTTTACATCTATCTATTGTTACGTAGATAAACCTGCTGCTCAGCATACAGAAATCTTTAGTAAAATCTATTTTATACTTCTCGATATACATTAACAAATTATATATGGACATACATCTGCGTCGTATCGTACAATAAATCGGATCGTGTAATAATTGCGCATTCAGCTCTAGATTACTTCGAATCGTATCGCTGCCAGATTAACACATTATAATTATTAGAATGATACCCGATCAGACCAGCTGGAAACGAGTGTCGACATATATATTGATATTTTATATTTATTCGCATATCTGCATTCATATCCAATGTGTATGTATGTATATATATGCCATATATTTATCTAACAATTGTGTACAATACGCATATATATATATACATATACATATACATATACATATATATATATATATATAA